GTATTGGAGAAGACCCTCCCTTGACTCCCTGTTCACTCTCAGCAGCGAGATATTTTCCATAATGATCACATCCTGTGGAAAGTGTGGGGACAGGAATGATTATCAGCCCCACCCCACCCCACCCCCATTGCTGGCTGTCACCAAGAGCCACATGCCCAGTGTACAGCAGGGGCCAGGAAGAATGATTTACCCTGCCCCTGCGGCTACTCACCATTTTGGAGGTCATGTGGCTCATGTGTGCTTGCTTGGGGTCAGCCAGTTAGTGACAGGTGTGAGAGTACTAGCTGTGTTTTAAAGCACTGAATCAATGTTGTCTGTGTTGCAAACAATACTGCTTCTGTAAAATGTTGCATTTAAACTTCACAGAGATGACTTTGGGAGCCCAGACTCCCTCTTTGTTATCAGCAACTGAACGGCTGCGCAGAATTAGGAAGCGGTCAAGACGAACTAAGGAGGACTTTCTGCATGATGTTATGATGCACTCCGCGGCTGAGAAACAGAAATTGAAGTAGTGGAGGGACAGCAAGAAGAGGGACCGAAAGGAGAACGCGGCATGCCAGAACGAAGCCATGGAGCGGCTCTTAAACATTATAGACCGTCAAGTGGACACGCTCCAGGCGATATTTCCATGCACCCCCCAGACACCACCAACACACTCCTATCTACCTCCTGGCTCCAGTCTATACATGCGGCATTCCACTCCTCCCCACACACAGTCCAGCACTGCAGACTCCCACTACCCACAGCACTCAACACCCAGCCCTCTGCAGTTTGGCCCTGCTGAAGTACAGTATCCGCTGCATTGTACTCCAAAGGAGAAGGTTAGATACGATCCCTGTACATACACAAATCTTTGGCCATCCCTCCTCCTCCTGGAACCTTCCCTTCTCCCATCCCCATCATGGTTGAGGTTTTCTTTGGTTTGACTCTCTCCTCCAATTGTTGTTTTTTAATAAAAGAATTGTGTTGGTTTGAAAGCAATCTTTATTCTATTAATTGAAAGCAAACAGAGCCCTGCAAAGCAACAGACAATTATGTTAAACCTTATATTGCATCATCTGCACCAATCACAATCACCTCCTAGCATTACAAGCACTGCATTCCCAAGCATAGCAACAAATATTAGTGGCTTTCAGCTTCAAATTGCTGCCTCAAGGGATCCCTGATCTTTATGGCCCCACGCTGCGCCCCTCTAATAGCCCAAGTCTCTGGCTGCTCAGCCTCCAAGCGCTGAGCCTCTGCGGTCCAGCCCTGAGTGAAGCTTTCACCCTTCCCTTCACAAATATTATGGAGCATACAGCGTGCAGCTATAAGCATAGGAATACTGTCATCAGCTCGGTCCAGCTTCCCATAGAGGCAGCGCCAGCAGGCCTTTAAACAGCCAAAAGCACACTCAACGGTCATTCTGCACTTGCTCAGCCTGTTGTTGAACTGCTCCTTGCTGCTGTCAAGTTGCCCCAGGTATGGCTTCATAAGCCACATCATTAAGGGGTAGCAGGGTCTCCCAGGATCACAATGGGCATTTTGACTTCCCCTATGGTGATCTTCTGGTCTGGGAAGAAAGTCCCTGCTTGCAGCTTCCTGAACAGGCCAGCGCTCCGAAAGATGCACGCGTCGTGCACCTTTCCAAACCAGCCTGCGTTAATGTCTGTGAAACGCCCCCGGTGAGCCACATTGAGAAATACCCCTTGTGATTAATGTACTAGGTAGGTAGGTGGTCTAGTGCCAGAATTGGAATATGCGTGCCATCTATCGCCCCTCCACAGTTAGGGAAGCTCATTTGTGCAAAGCCATCCACAATATCATGCACATTGCCGAGAGGAGGATGCGATTAATGGCCCTGCACACTTCCATCAACACGAGTCCAACAGTCAACTTTCCCACTCCGAACTGGTTAGCGACCAATCGGTGGCAGTCTGGAGTAGCCAGCTTCCACAGTGCAACCGCCACGCGCTTCTCCAAAGGCAGGGACGCTCTCATTCTTGTGTCCTTGCGCTGCAGGGCTGGGGCGAGCTCATCACACGTCCCATGAAAGTGGCTTTCCTCATCCGAAAGATCTACAGCCACTGCTTGTCATCCCAGATGTGCATGACGACGTGATCCCACCACTCAGTGCTTGTTTCCCAAGCCCAAAAGTGGCGTTCCATTGTGGTCAGCACCTCCATGAACATCACAAGCAATCTCGTGTCGTAGCTACTACGCATGGCAAAATCAATGTCACACTCCTCTTGCCTTTGTAGTTTAAGGAATAACTCCACTGCCACTCATGATGTGTTGGTCAGAGCAAGCAGAATACTGGTCAACAGTTTGGGATCCATTCCTGGAGCCCGAAGAGGCAGGGCGCACAGTACGAACTGTTGAAAGATGGCACCAAATGCGGACGGAAGCACAGGGATTGCTGAGATGTGAACCAATGCATCATGGGGCATTGGGATAGGACCCAAGATGCCCCACGACCCCCTCCGCCTTCCCACAACTCTTAGCGGCAGAAGAGGAAGAGATGCTCTGTGGGATAGCACCCAGAGTGCATCGCTCCAAATACCGGGGCAAGTGCCGCAAGTGTGAACATGCTATTGCGCAGGCAGCCGACAGTATGAACACACAACAGCGGTTTCCCTTCAGCGCTCTCTGAGCGGTGCTGTAACTCTGACATACCCAGAGTGTCACAGCTAAATACAAGGTGGAACAGATTGTTTAGCATAGGTAGTTAACATATATTTCTAGGGACCATTCAAGGTGAAGTGGCCCATTAACCTCTGCAGTCATGGGGGAGAAAAGAAAAAAAAAGATAGGAGAGGGGTTAAGTGGGTTATATATTACTGTAATGAGCCATAAATCCAGTGTCTCTATTCAGTCCATGATTTTTAGTATCTAGCAAAGTTATGAATTTAAGCTCCCAGGCTTGTCTTTCGAAGGTATTGGGCAGGTTTCCTTTGAGAATGAGGACTGATAAGTCAGATATAAAGTGATGGCTTTGTGAAAAGTGTTCACCCTCAGATGATGTCGTGTTTTTGTCTTATTTTTGTGTGTGAGTTCATTTGAGAGCATAGTGATTGTCTGGTTTCATCAACATAGTTGTTTGGGGGCATTTAGTGCACTGGCTGAGGTACACCACATGTTGTGATAGGAATGGATCTTGAAAGACGTGTTGTGGGGGTAGATGTAGCGGTGGAGATATGGCTACAAGTTTTGCTGTTCTTTTGGCAGAGTCTGGTGCTGCTTTGAGTTGCTGTAACCTGGTCTGTGGAGAGCTTGCTGAATAGAGACACTGGATTTATGGCTTATTACAACAATCTATAACCTATTTATGCCCCCTACCACCTTTTTTTCCCCACCTGTCCTTTCCCCACTATGACAGGAGAAGTGATAACGGGCCATTTCACCTTGAATGATCCCTTGAAATATGCATTAACTACTTAAATACAAGGTAGAACCACTTGTTTAGTGTACCTGTGACACTCTGAGTACATTTCCCAGACCTGAAGAAGACCTCTGTGTGGCTCGAAAGCTTGCCTCTCACCAACTGAAGCTGGTCCAATAAAAGATATTATCTCACCCACCCTGTCTCCCTTAAATCTTCTGTTGAGCCATTGAACAGACACAGCGTAAGTGGCAGCAGTGAAAGCTTCTCCACACTACATACCAATGTGCCTCCCAGACTAGTAGGGATTACTTCTCCTGTGAAACTCTGGTCCCACTGAAGCCTGGGGCAAAGCTGCCTTTGACTTCAGCTGAAACAGGATTTCACCACTGGTCTAGTAGTTCTGTCTCCCGGTCTAGTCTGTCTTTGGCCTTCTAGCCAAATCCATCAGGATGCTAATTGTGCAAGCAGTTTTAGTGATGTGAACTAGAAACAAGTCACAAAACCCTTCACATAAGCCATCAAAGAGCCATAAGATGGTAAAAAAAGAAAAGAAAAAAAACACAAAACCAAAAAGCTTTTAGTCACTACTGACCTGTACTTGATTCAAACGTGCATCCAAGAGGTGAAAGCTATTCTATATCCTGTATTGGGACTGCATACGATAACAAATCCTATCCTACCCTACCCCACAATTTTTTCTCAATAGAGTAAAAGAAAACTATTAATCTGAGCGACATTTGTACTGTTTGCATGTGTCAGAAACATCTGAGAACTCCAAACATATTTATGTTCGTAATGGAATAAGAGCTACTAAATCCTACCAGCAAGTAATGGCTCGACACACTACTCAGTTATAATTGCCCACTTCATTCTATTTGACATAATCTATAAAGTAGGTTACATCAGGTCGCATTGCCGTATTTGAGAATGGCAACAATGAAAACATAACTTGATCAAATAGAATGCACTTATGTCAGAAACAAGGACTGCACTAAAAGGACCTAGTGTTTTATGCTGCCATCCATCACAGTAGTAAAATGGCATCATAACACACAGGTCAATGGGCACCCTCATCTTATTGCTAGTTAACAGGTGTTACTATACAGATATTAAGATTCCAAAAGATACAACTTTTAGTTAGAAAGCAAGGCTCTTGTCCTTTAAAAAAAAGCTCAACATCTGAAGGCAAGTACAGTCAAGGCAACCTACTGATTATTTGCGATAACACTAGATACGTAGGCACTGGGGAAAAAATAAGCAGAGCTACATCATTGGTTTCTGGAGCTCCAGTAAATTGGTTCTAATTTGAGTTTCTCACCCAGCCTGCAACATCTTTTGGGCACAATGATAACCGCCGGGTTCTGTGAACTCTTTCACAGCAGCATCTTGGGAACACAGACTGGCTTCAGAGGGATCGTTTGTTCTTTTCCCAGCGCCACCAACACGTTTTCTTCAAGGAAACAAGGTAACTTTGGTTAAATTTAAAGGATAAGCTCCATGTCAGCAAAAAAAGGGCAGCAAGAACTGGACCCACGCTGTTTTATGGCGTCCAGGTTTCCCAGCTCAGGTTCATACCCCCTATATACCTGTTTCAATTCAGAACTAAGCGACTAGTGAAAGCAAGGGCACTCCTTCAGCGGTTAGTGAACGGTGCAGAATTTCTCCTCCCTAATTCTCAGAGCTCTCTCTCTTTTTCAGTTGCTAATTCCTCTGCCAGGAACCTGATCATTCATAAGTAAAGCCTCTGCTAAATATTAAAGGATGTTCAATGACTATGCCGGTGGAAAATACATTTTCTGCTGGACAGAGGCGAGTTAGATTTTTGACCAACACTGAGCAAATGGTGCTCCTCGCTGAGTCTGACAGCAATGCAAAGGGACAGAAAAGGAGGAGAGAGGGAACGCACGCTTTGTCTCTGTAACAAGGTAAGATTGCTGCTTCGTAGCGCTAGCAGAGTTTTTCCTTCTTTTATGTCCCACTTACTTGCATTTATTTTAATTGGATCTAGGACTGAGGACAATCGTCAAAGCTTAATCCTCCAAACAACAAAGCAAGGGCACGAAGCCACCAAGAACAAAATACAAGGCACACAACGATACGTCTCTTTAGCGACGGGGGTTGCCCCTGTAAATAATCCGGCCGGGTTCAAGCAGTAGCAAAAGAGGTTCAACTGTCTCTTAATCATAGACGTTAGAGGTGGGAAAGCCACATTTACCAGTCCCCACACCAGGGCGGGTTTTGTTCCACGCCTACATTTAGCAGCAAGTGGAAACACAGTCATTTGATCGTTTGTTTTAGTGCCTTTATGTTGGCAATGAAAATTCAGTCCCTTTTGGAAACCAATGCACCGGGGATGGAAACGGTCCGAGGCCCCAGCAACCCTCCCGCGGCTGCCCGACAAAGGCTGAACTAATCATTAACTGCAGAGGCAAAGCGAGGTCTGTTCCCTCCGCCCGAGCCCAGGCAGCAGCCGCCAAGGGAGAGGTGAGTGGTTATTGCAACGCTCACCCCCCCGCCCGCCCGCCCTCCCCAAGCCTTCCTGCAAAAAAACAAACTTGTTTCAAACGTGCAGAAATCCAAAGGAAAGCGATCGGCCCCCAGGGCGCGATGGGGAAAGCAGTCTCCCCTCCCCCCCAGCACTGCCCATTGCAAGCACTTTCCCTGTGCGACCCCCACCGGGCAGAGTCCGCGCTGCCAGCCCCCAAGCAGGGAGCAGCTGAGCGAGTCTCTCGCCTGGTCTCCAGGAGCCCGGGCAGCCGCAGCAGCCCCGTCGCCACCTCCCGGGGAAACCCCCCGCTGCAGCCATGCAAACCGCAGCACAGTCACGGCCCCTTTCCCCCCCGCACCTCCAACGAGCAAGTCACGCCGCGAGGAGACGGGGTTGGGGAAAACGAATTCGCCTTCAAAACGGGAGCCCCTTCTCTGCTTGCTGCATCCCGCCCCCAGCAGCAGCAAGCCTCCGTCAGGCACCGCGATCGACTGGGCTAGTACCAAACGCAGCTGAACAGCATAAGCAGAACACCCCCCCCCCCAGCTCCAGCCTCCGCCTGTATTTAAATCTGGTGCAAAGCAGGAGAAGACTCCCTAGCAGCTGGAGTGCACTGGGGGGGGGGGACTCACTTGCTTCCTCCCTTTGCAAAAGGACAGGTCACCCGGAGAGCCACTGAACTAGAGATAAAGATCAAACACACCGGAGGGGCGGGAGTCAGCAATTTGCATTGGCCTAAGGGGAGTTTCTCCTGCTTTACGAAAAGCAAACAGGTTTAAGTTTTGCAACTTGCACATGCAAGCTTCCCTATCGCGCTGAGCCCCTTCGGAGCGTGCACGGAGCTGCTGCACCTTCCTCGGCGTCCCACGCGAGCGGCACGGCGGGCTGTGCACGCCCAGGCAAGTTTGCAAGGTGGAAAGTTTCCACGCGTTGCCCCCAGCCCCCTGCCCGGCTCTGCCCAGGGACCGGCCAACCCCAAGAAGCAAAAGCGACGCACCCTTCCCTCCAGCGGCATCAGCTGCGGGGCTTCCCCCTCTGCCTCCGCTGCACGGTCTCCATGAGCCCGGGAGCCAGCCCAGCTGCGCCCTCCCGGTGCAACGCGCAGCCCGGGACTGGGACTGGGGCCGGCAGGAGAAGGCTGGAGGCGCGGCGCGCTCGGCACGCAGCTCCGGACTCTGCCTGGGGGCTCTGAGCGGAGGGGGAAGGGGGCGATCCCAACCCGCCGGTCTGATCACAGCGCAGCCTACCGGGAGGAGAGCCCGCTCCCGTGTATCCGCCTCTTCTTCCCCCCACGGATCACTCCCCCCGCCTCTCCCTCTTTCCAGCGGAGAGACAGACCCACTCACCCCACTCCGTCCTGCCGCCTGGTCTCTCGCAAACACGGACACTCAGCCTCTGGGTCCGCTCATTCCGGCAGAGAGACGACCACGCGCTCGCTCTCCACAGCCTCCCTGCTGCCTCTTCTTCCCATCAAAGACACACACAGCTCACCCTGGATCCTCTCAAGCGCCTGCCTCCTTCCCGTCACAGTTCTTCTCTCCCATCACTAGCTGCTGCGCTCCTACACACCCACCCTGTATCCTCTCACATCTGCCTCAACCCATCCCACCGGCGCAGGCTCCACAGGATACACCCTCAGCTCAATGCAATAGTACTTCAGTGGCAGGGCGAGCCACACGGTGCAGTGTAAAAACCTGAGGTCTGGACAGGGCTTCCCAGTGTGTTTCTGCTTTTATCCCATGGCCCTTGGTCCTTACTGTTGTTTACCCCATCCCCTGGCAGGTGGTTATGTGTGATGAGTCACTATCTATGGCTCTTACTGCTGTAGTATCTGACTTGCTCACACTATTTAATGCGTCTTTCCTGCCAACATCCTTATGAGGTAGGGATCTGCTATTATCCCCCTTTTAGCGATGAGGAACTGAGAGACTAAGGCTACGTCTTCACTACCTGCCTGAATCGGCGGGGAGAAATCGATCTCTCGGGGATCGAATTATCGCATCTCGTCGGGACGCGACAATCGATCCCCGAATCAACGCTTGTACTCCACCAGCCCAGGTAGGAGTAAGCACCGTCGATGGGGGAGCCGCGGAGGTCGATTTGCCACCGTTCTCACAGCGGGGTAAGTCGCTCGGATACGTCGAATTCAGCTACGCTATTTGCGTAGCTGAATTTGCGTATCTTAAATCGATCCTTCCCCGCCCCCCCCCGGTAGTGAGGACGTAGCCTAAGGGTGACACTTTCAAAAGCACCTAAGGTGAGTTCCTAGCCCCTATTGAAAGTCAATGGGATGGGAGTTAGGTACCTAAGTCACTTAGGCACTTTTTAAAATGCCTCCCTAAATGGTTTACTTAAGGCCACACAGGAACACACAAGAAGCCTGGGGTGGAGCAAGGAATTAAATTTATATATCCCACAGATCGGGCTAGCAGCTTAATTTTTGAGCCATCCTTCCTCTTTTATTGCTTGTTTTTCTTCTGGCAGCTTTTATTTTCTTTTCTTTTCTTTAATGAAAAATATTTTATCTTGGTTGATAATTACAGGAAAGATCTTTCTCAAACTCTCTTGTGTGTCACACATTGGAATATAAGAACGGCCATACAGGGTCAGACCAAGGGTCCCTCTAGCCCAGTATCCTGTCTTCCGACAGTGGACAATGCCAGGTGCCCCGGAGGGAATGAACAGAACACGTAATCGTCAAGTGATCCATCCCCTATCACCCATTCCCAGCTTTGGTGTCTCAATTTCTTCTCTGTCCCATTGGTTCCCATCTGGGGTTGAATGGTGCTTCAGGACTTCCAGTTTTCATGTCTAGTTTGTATTCATGGATTCTGCACTTGGTAAGAGTCCAGTTTAGCTTTGTGTTTCACTGTAGTGAGGGTAGTCTGCTGTGATAGCTCTGCACAAGGGTTTGTAGCAGTCTAAAGGGTTGATTTCTTCCCAGTGTTTCATATATTGTTATTATGTAGGGTCTAGCATCTTGAGCATTTTCAGATTTTTCACTCCATTGGTTGGGAGGTTAGGGCTGTTGAGAGCAGGAAATACAAGAGTGGATTACGCCTCTGTAGTTATTTGGGTTGAGAACCTCTTCATTTTTGAGTACTGGGGCCGGCTTTTATGTACTAGGGTACTTATTACTTGTTTCACAATATGCATATTCATGTTGCTGAACTGTAGGTCCATTATGGCCCCTTTGCTATGCTAAGGGTAAATCTGCCCAAGGAGCCCCTCTTGTTCTACCATTGAGAACATTTTCCGTATATTAGCAGTTTCTTCCCATTTGTGTTGATGGTGATGCTCAACAATCCCTATTTTAATGGGGTGTTACGATAAGGTACATCATCTCTAAATCCGTTTATCTCCCTTTGTAGAGATGGAATCCAGTTCCCTGCTTGTACAGTCACTTACGGCTTATGTACTACATCTGAGAGAGACAGCTATCACCAGTGCAAGTGCTTTGAAGTGCTAATTTCGTTTATTTTCTAGTCTGCTGCTCTTTCACTCTTTTCTTGCCTACCCCTTTACTGCTGGTCACTGTTGCTAAACATGACTTCCAACCACAGGACAGGTGAAAAGTTCCCCATGAAAACCACTGTCAGCATTGCTCTCTCCACTGATCTCAAAGCGCTCAGCATGCAGTGGGCAATCTGCTGCTGTAAATTAGTGTGAAGGTGGAAAAAACCCAGCAAAAGCCCACATTAATCACACTATCCAGGCCAATAATCACAAAACAGGAGGGCCAGACTGTAGTTGACAAAACAAGAAACAAACAAACATCAAACACTAATTGTTTATTTTAAGACCCTACTAACTACAAATAAAAGTGTGAATGCCCCATGGCAGAAGTACATAGGCAATTTTACGTTTACTAAAACAAAACTTTGCTACAAGTCATTTTATACTAATGTTTGTTTTTCTCATAATGGGTCATCCAGTGAAATTTACTACTACTCCTAAAAGTTTAGTAATATTTGTGTTATGGTAGTCTCAAGAAGCTACAACTGAGACCAGAGAAGCATTTTGCTTGGTACTATAGAAACACAAAGTAAGGAATAGCCCTGTTCCTAAGAGCTTATACTCTGCACTGACAAGACCAACATAGACTGGGAAGGAAAATATACTATATTACAGATGGTATTGGGAGAAAAACTGATTTAGCTGAGGGATTAGCCACAGGGCTAATGGGACCCATGTCCAGGGGCCCTAGCCAATTGGGGTGTCCTGGAAAAATGGGCGCCCCCACACACCGCCCCTTCTTCCCCGTCCACCCGGCGCTCCTGCCAAGGAGCAGGGTCAGGGCGCAGGGGCTTGCCCTGCTCCGCTCGCCTGGGGCTCTTGCAAGGGAGTAGGGGAAGCCCCTGCGCCCTGATCCCGCTGCCTGGCAGGAGCGCCGGGCAGGCAGGTATGGCAAGCCCCCCCTCTCCCCCATTTCCCCTGCAGTAATGCCGGGGGAGGGACCAGGGGGACTACAGGCGGAAGGGGTAGGGAGGGGCCCCCACTTGCTCTGGCCCAGGCCCCACAAAACCGTAATCCACCTCTGGAGCCAGGAAACCAGATCTCTCCAGTCCTAGTATAAAAATAGTGCTCCTTAGCTTCCAAAAGACCATACAGATAATGTTATACTGTTTTTTAAGTCATCTTTTTTAGGTATTGGCTGTTTTTCTTTATATTTTTGAACTGTCTCTGTGAGTGAATGGTAACATTATAAAAACATAAATAAAACCAAACACAAATTCCTATAACTATAAATTAAAATACTAGGATAGATTGTGTTCCATGGCACTGCAATTTTGGTCCCTACAAATTATTGTAATGAACTGGCTAGTGTATGTGTACACCTCTGCCCTCTACTGGATAAAATCAGAACTGTGTGTCAAAGTTCTCATACTGCTTATATCGGGGGTAGCCGTGTTAGTCTGTATCTACAAAAACAACAAGGAGTCTGGTGGCACCTTAAAGACTAACAGATTTATTTGGGCATAAGCTTTCGTGAGTAAAAACCTCACTTCTTCGGATGCAACTGCTTATATTTAACTCAAATGGAAGGAGGCTGTATTTTTGGAGTAGGAAGTATGAAGACTGCAGTGCTGTCCCTTCTGTTGTCATGTACTTCTGAAAATAATGCACTGAATTTGTTACAATATTGCACAGTCCTTTGTTTAGCCTTCTTTTAAATGTCTCCTAGGATAGGGCTTCCATCACTTCTCCTGGGGAAACTATTCCACAATTTTATGGATTTCACTGTTAGGACAGGTTCTTTCTCTATTCCACCTACACCCTACTCAATATTTGCCTAAATTTCTATTTTCTTAATTCTATCCTTTGGTAATACACCTTTCAGATATTAACAGACATATCTGTTGTAGATCCTCCTTAGTTGTCACTTAGCCAAACTACACTTCTACCTCGATATAATGCTGTTCTCAGGAGCCAAAAAATCTTACCGCGTTATAGGTGAAACCGTGTTATATTGAACTTGCTTTGATCCACCGGAGTGCGCAGCCCTGCCCCCCCGGAGCACTGCTTTACCGCGTTATATCCGAATTCGTGTTATATCGGGTAGCGTTATATTGAGGTAGAGATGTATATACCGTATATCAGCTTGGAAGGTATTAGAATTTTTATCGGTAAATGTCGGTAAGCATTGATTTCACCATACATGCACAAACTGATGACAAAATATTTCCATTGATAATAAATGAAATTTACACATAAGAAAAATAAGAACACTGCTGCTTGAGAACTTATTAGAGTTTGATTTAAGGCTATTTACTTTGTGTATTTTGACATGTGACAATTTGTGTTTTAACAATTTGAATTTCAATGTCTACTGTCATTAAATAATTGTCAGAGCCCCATAATTTCCTGCAACTGTGAAAATTTTAATTGCTAAAAATAGAAAAAAGTGCTTAAAAATAAACTGATATTATCTGTCAAAATTATATAAAAAAAGTCTAGTTCTGCCAAGCCTCCCTCTGCCTATATATTTACTGAGTGTTACAGTAGATAAATGCTAATGAGTATTAGTAGTTAATTCAGTTTTTCCTTATTAATCAATCCTTCCAGCCCTGTAATGATTTTTGCTGCTCTTCTCTGAACTATCCCCAGTAGTGAGGGAATTCTGTTGATTAGCAATAGCACTTTGTATGGATGTAGCATTTTGTTCATTTGTAGATTACTTTCCTAAAGGAGGGAAACAGTTTCCATATGGAGTAACTAAGGCATAGAGGACCATACTGTCCTCTCATACCAGTTTTTTACAACAGTGTAAGTTCATCAACTTCAGTGGAGTTGCCCCTAATTTACACTGTGTAAGAGGAGAATTTGGCCCAGAGTGGTTATGTGAGTTGTGTTAGTCAGCAACTGAACCTAGGTCTCCTGACTCCAAGTCCCAACTCAGTCTACTTGATCCAGCTGTCCCTAAAACATAATCTCTATAGCATTACTATTGGAAAAAAAAACACACAACTATCATGTCTGATTTATTCGTGTTATCACACTCTACAAACACCAGTCTTGAAATTGCTTCTTGATCCCCCTATGCCATCTTCTAAACAAACAGCAAGGGAAATCTTGTCACCTTCCTGCAAAGATGACCAAGTTAATGAAGATCTAAATAAATCACTATTGGGATATATGATCTTACTTTTTAATCTACTCAGAGTTTACGCTGAAATTGTAGTTAATGATTATTCAGCTAAGGTAAAGAAAAAATAAAACCAAGTCAGAGGGAAAAAGGCTTCCAAGAGCTCCAAGAAGGGACAGAGAGACTGGTTTTACATCTGATCTTAACTCAACCTGCAGCACGCTATTAAAAATAAATCTCAGCATATTGTCATGAATTATGAAACGCTGACATTTCATTTGGAATTAATGCGAAGGGCTGCTTGTACACTATTTTAGAGTCACTTGCTTAGGCAAATTAATACATATTTTACTTCACCAGAACAAATGTTAGCAACCCTGCTACTTTTCAAAACAGCAAACTATTTGCATAATGAAAAAATATCTTAATAGACGTTGTTCCCCAGGGCTGTTGTGAAAGTTACTTTGAAAAGAATCAAATCTGTTATGAATCGTCAATTGCTTGATTCAAAATACTACTGATTATTTTCATATAGGCCCAGGCTGGCCTTTCTGGGTATGTCTACACTGCAATTAAAAACCCATTGCTGGCCTGTGCCCACTGACTTGGACTCAGATTAATGGGCTGTTTAATTGTGATGATGACTTTCAGGATCGGGCTGGTGCCTGGGCTTTAGAACCCTAGGAGATGGGAGGGTCCCAGAGTTCAGGATGCAGTCTGAGCCGGAATGTCTACACCGCAGCCCCTTATCCTGAATCCTGCAAGCCTGAGTTAGCTGGCATGGGCCAGCCACAGGTTTTTAATTGCAGTGTAGACATACCTACAGTTTACAGGGCCTCAAGCTGCTAAAAGGGGAGAGAGGATAATTGTGCTTCCTGCCCAAAAAGGCATGAACATCAAAGAAAGTTGTTTTAAATTTTGGCAACTGTGGTGCCAGAGGTAGACACTGGGGAGGCCTATTTGCTTAATTTCCATGAGTCCACAAGCAGCCGATAGCAATGCTGATCACAGTCTTAAGTTCCCTTTGCTATATCTGGCTATAACAGGTACCACAATGCCATTCTACTGCTCATGTACGTCAGTGAAAATGAAAATACTCTAAATTGAGTTTTTTGTCTGAAAAGTAATCGGGATTACTTCTTACAGATTATCTACTGTTTAAGGCATCAGTTCAGCAAGGCACTTAAAAACATACTTTCAGCACATGGGTGAATACTTTATGGATGGACTTACGGACATGCATAACTGCTTTGCTGAATTGGGGTCTAAAACAGGTATCTGAAAAAGTCATCTGACAACATGAAATTAAGGAGTCACTTGAAAAACGCTCTTGTTTTCAGTTCCATCATTTGACAAAAAAACATTTATTTCTATATCAATTGCCCATCATTTTTTATTTCTCTCAGAGGCAAAATCACCCATCTCAGTAACAGATGTTTGTGAATCTGCAATCAAGAAACAGAAGCATGTCCTACAGTTTAATTTCTCATCATATATTCTGAAACTATTTGGGAAGTGATAGAGCATGGTACCCACTGACCCGATGATGCCATAAAACTTCGTGCAAACTTCCCGTGCATCTTTGTATATCTTCTCACATCTGCTGGCAGCAAGAGATATTTTAATTATAACACTAAGTCAGTGTTAAAAGTTAACAGATTGTGACATTACTCATACTCTACTTTAGAAACAAGATGTGGAGGCACAATTCAGCTAAATGGAGCCCATACCAGACGTTTTTCTTTGGGACATTAGTCCTCACGTCCTTGAGCACATCTTACTCAAAGGTATGCTCTCTCTGATGAGGAATTGGTTGATCTTCAGTAGTGCCAGCCATCTAACAAGTTACTGGGCTCAACACAGGAGTAGCTGGATGAAATTCTGTTGCCTGTATAATACAGGAGGTCAGACTACACGCTCGCAATGGGATCTTAAAAATCAATGAAACTAACAAGGGCCACACTGTGAATGATCTGAGATGTCACTAGCCGTTAAATACTAAGGATTTAGCTAAATACTTCATCTTTAAGGACTAATGCTCCCTCCTTGAAACCTTCCTTTGCCATGATGTTTACAGATCAGAACTATCTGGCATTGGTAAGACTGGCCCATCATTCTGACCACTGAAGCTACTTACGTATGCAAACAAATCATTTCTTACTGTTACCTTGGCCCTCACCCCAGGACAGTTGCCTGTTTATCCACTTGCTTCACTTTATCATAATCCTCCTTTCTCAGGCAGGGAAAGTCTTTTGTGTTACTTGTTTGTACAGTGCCTAGCACAATGAAGCTCTGATACCTCACTGGGGCCTCTAGGTGTCATCATATTAGTAATTGAGAACAGGTGCTGTATCTGGATTATCTTGAGCTGTAATTGCCATTTAACAAGAAAGATCCCCAGTCTAATGCAGAATTCATTGCAACTGAGTTTTATTGCGATAGTCAGAAGGGGACTGCAGTTACTATTTCCTTTTATGAATGCAATGATATCATGCATCCAAAAATTGATTTTGACAATCCAAGTTAAAACACTTCACTAGCATAATTCTAGATTGTGATTTACAGCACAATAGTATTTAACCCCCCTGGAACCGTATTAAAGGAACATTAAAGGTTTGACTTAAACCCTCATGAGTTAGGTCATTCTGAGTAAAAGGGATACATTGGAGTTGACATTCATTCTTAATTTATGCCGTTGCAAACAAGGAGACAATGGCACATGTAGAGGCAACGTCAGTTCAGATTTTTGTAGCCTTACCTTTCTGTTTGCTCTCTTTAAATTCTTCCCACATCCAATCAAGGATCACTTTAGCATGACTGGGCACAGCATGAACTCTAAGAGGAGTGTATCTGATCAGCATCTAACCTAGGTTCAAAGAAATCAGACATGCCACCTTCAAAGAACAGATTCCAACCTGAGTTGGCCTTTAGGAGATACATATTTGTGATACTGGAACACTTCCTCTCCAGAGGGAGGATATCAAACTTGATGACTTGATCCATGAATGAATCCTGTTTACAGAGCGTTGAAAGCAGGGTTTTGTGCCTTTTAGGGAGTTTTGAGACAGGAAGAAGTACTGTCTAGTGGCTAGAGCATGGAACACTGAGTGAAGTTCCGAGTTCTAGTCACAGCTCAGCCACTGACTTTTGCTGTGTAACGCTTGGCAAGTCCCTTAACCTCCCTGTGCCTTAGTTTGTCCTGCTATAAAAGCAAAGCACTATAATACTTACACTGAAGAATGTCAATATAAGACACAGGCTGGATGGTTTTATGGCTATGTTACTAGCCTGGGCTGCTGGAGATCTGAGTTCAATTCCGGAATTTATACTGGATGTTTTGTGTGACTTTGGAGAAGTCATGTTAATCTCTGTCTACCACACTTTCCCCTGTAAAAGGGGGATGTGAATACTTATTTTGTCTTGTCTATTTGGACGGAAAGCCAGGGTTGGCAATTTCCCAGGAAAAACTAGTTTAGGACAGGGCATCAGTAAATACTGGCTTAAACCCAATGTAAACCAGGAAAAATAAAATTATTAGAATATACTAATGAAAACTGCTGAAAAATATTTAGCAATATTATAATAGTTTGCAGTATATATAATATTGAAAACTGAAGTATGAGTCATGACATTTATAACTTCCTTGAGAAAATACTGAACCAAAATGTATAGACATTCCAATGTTCAGTATTCTATTACGTTTTACTTTTTATTGGAACAACCCCACATTAATCTCCAAATCTACTGTCTTATGTAACCACAATTTGAATATTACTCCTGTTGGAATTCTGCACCACTGTGCAATGCAGAATTTGTCCAGAATTAATGTTCCCTGCAGAATTTTTTCCTGCAGAATTTGTGATTTTCACCAGAATGCTTCCTTTTTCCGGTTTTGCATGTTTCAAAAGTATTAGTTACATATAGTGGGACCCTGATTATCCAATCTAATTGGGACATGGGTCAGATTGGATAATCAAAAATCTGGATGAACTGGAGAATGGGTGGCAGGGCTCCCGCTGTTAGCCCAAGGTGACTGTGGCTTCTGTGGCAGCGGGAGCCCCAGCGGAGCTACATTTCCTGAACATTTTGTTGCCTGTATGGTTGCAGATATATTTTCTAACAGGTATTTTGAAATAAATTTCATAATTGAAACTGGCATGATTATATGGTGTTATTTTGACAAATAAAATATGCAGAATTTTGCAAAATAGTTTTAATGTTTTGGTGTAGAATTCCCACAGGAGTAGAATATGTAACTAAAA